GCATGGCGGGACAATCCGGGGAGACTTCCTTGAGGAGGTGGCTCCTCAATGGAGGCTGGAACGATTAGTAAAGCTCTTCCAACTGGCAGTGGGGGCACCGTATGCAAAATTCTGAAGGTGCGTGTTTGAAAAGCTGCCTGTTGCTGGCGTGTCACTGTGGCTGGGGCTGTGAGCTGGAAGGGAGGGGGTGCTGCAGAGGAGCCAGCTGCCTTGAAAAGGCCTTTCTGAGGAGTCCAGATTTGCCCAAAGTACACACACGCCCTTCCCCCTATGCATGCCCTGTGAGTCACTAAGAGTATAGTGAGAGCTGATTAATGCTAGCGGTCGGTGGACAGGAACTGCAGAGTAGGGATGGGGGGGAGGCCCCAGGCTGCTGAATGGTGGCTTGATCGCAGCCTCGCTGATAACTGGCAGGCCCAACCATCAGGTGCAGTTTAGGGCAAAGCAGGCATTCCTTTGGGTTTTTTCTTTCTCCAGTGACTAGGTAGGCTTGCAATTACCTCCTCCTCGTGTAAAACCCCAGCACCTTTTTTCCAGCCACCTCCCCTGCTCAGACCTGCCTCTCTTTGGAAAATGGGAAATGGTGGGTCTGTGTAGCTGTGTAGAAATGCGTGTAGCTGTATGTGTGTGCCTGTGCATGAAAATATCTCATAAATGTGTGAGTAAGTGTATAAATGGGAGTGTGTGCTTGCATATGCATGAAAACATCTCTTCTGGTGCCACGTATGGGTGCATATGTGCATGAGACTCTATGCCTCTGTTTACATTGAGGAACATGGATGCATGCATGTAAGCCTGTGTCCAGGAGGGTCTGTGGGTGATTAAGAGCGTGGGGGTCTGCGAGATGTGTTTGCAGTGTGTGTGCGACTCTACACAACTGGCCATCATGATTATCTTCATGGGAGAGAAGTTCTTGGGCTGAGATATTTACATTAACCAGAGCAATAAAATGCTGAACGAGTCTCCTGCTTCCCCTCTTGCTCTCTTGTAATCCATTCTCCACCTAGCAGCCAGTTTGAGCTTTTAAAAATGCAAATCAAATTGTGTCACTTCTAAACTGAGAAGCCGCCGGTGGCTTCCCACTGCATCTGGAATGAATCTAGCCTTCTGACTATGGCCTACGTGCTAGGCCCGCACCTCGATCTTTGAAGCTTTGTAGCCTCATCTCCTCCCACTCCTTGGGTACCCCCTGCCTCAGCTATATAGGCAAGAGCCTTTGTACCCAACATTCTCTCTCCTGGACCCCTTTGCCACTGAGTGCTGCCCTAGCTCCAGGTTTTAGCCCAACATGATGACATTATCAGTGGGGTCTTCTCTGACATCTCAGTTTGAATCAGCAACCCCCAGCTCTCTGTCCCATCACTCTGACTCCTTCCTCCCCAGTGTTGGTCAGCTGGGTCGGAAGCAGATGCTGAGACAGAACTAGGTGCACACTGGGGTGAGCGGGAAGCAGCTCCTGAGAAGAAATAGGGAGAATGCCGACTGGGAGGGGCAGGGTGGGGCCATCAGACCACAGTGAGGGTCTATGTGTTCTCTGACAGCCCTCTGGGGTGCCCAGAGCAAACGCTGCCCATTAGAAGAGCTCTGAATTGGGTGGAAATTGCTAGATTCTGTACCATGTCTAGTTCTATCAAGGGCTGGAAGCATCCACTCAAAAACAAGGAGAAGACAAACCACAGACTGGAAGAAAATATTTGCAAAAGACACATCTGGTAAAGTACTGTTACCCAACACATGCAAAGAGCTCTTAAAACTCAATGATAAGAAAATGGAGAGCCCGATTAAATAATGGGCCAAAGACCTGAACAGATACCTCACCAAAAGATGATATACAGATGACAAATAAGCATGTGAAAAGATTCTTCACATCATATGTCATTAGGGAATGGAAAATTGAAACAAAATGAGGTACTATACACCAATTAGAAAGGTCAGGTTTGGGAACACTGACCACACTAAAGGCTGACGAGAATGTGAAGCAAGGGGAACTCTTAATTTGTAGCTTGTGGAAATGCAAAAAGGTACAAGCACTTTGGAACACCGTTTGGTGGTTTCTGACAAAGCTAAGCATATTCCTCCCATATGATCCAACCGTCACACTCCTTGGCATTTACCCAAAGGAGCTGAAACGTATGTCCACACAAAAAACCTGCACACAGATGTTTATAACAGTTTTATTCATAATTGCCAAAACTTGAAAGCTTCCAAGATGTCTTTTAGTAAGTGAATGGATAAACAAACTTTGATACATCCAGATATGGAATATCAAGCAGCACTGAAAAGAAATGAACTATCAAGCCATGAAAAGGCATGGAGGAACCCTAAATGTATATTACTAGGTGAAAGAAACCAATTGAAAAGGCTGCATACTGTATGGTTCTAGCTATGTGGCGTTGTGGAAACGGCAAAACTATGGAGATGGTAAAAAGGCCAGTGGTCGCCCAGGGTTAGGTGGAGAGAAGATGAATAGAGAGGTGGAGCCCAGAGGATTTTCAGGACAGTGAAACTATCCTGTATGATACTTCAGTGGTGGATACATGTCATTATACATTTGTCCAAACCCATAGAATGTACAGCACTCACAGTGAAGCCTAATGTAAACTATGGACTTTGGGTGATAACGATGTGTCTATGCAGGTTCATCGAGAGTAACAAATGCATTACTCTGGTGGGGATGTTGATGGTGGAGAGGCTGTGCATGTCTGGGGCCAGGGGTATAGAGGAGACCTGTGTACTTTCTATTCAGTTTTGCTGGGAATCTGAAAATGATCTATAAAATGAAGTCAAGGAAGAAAGAAAGAAAGGAAGAAAGAAAGAAAAGGAAATCCTCAGACACCCTCATCGGGCTCCCTTCTCTCTCCACATCCTTTCCTTCTGCTGTCCAGGTGTTTTCTGACTTCCTCACAGGGGAAGTTTGCTGGGCATGTCTGTCTGCCTGTCCTTTTCTTCCATGGTTTGGCTGGATCTTTTGTTAAAGGTTTTCCAGCTCAGGGACCAGCCTGGCTGGGAGCTTCTTCATCTCTATAGCTCCTCTGCCAAACTTGCAGGCCCCACCCAAGTCTTCTCCCAACCCACGGACCTTCTCAAAGAATCTCACCAACAAATGACAGCTACGATGTGCTCTGTAAGCCCTGGCCTTGTATAAGTATGCACCCTGATACCCAGCCAAGGTGAAGGAAATTCAAGATTGGAGAGGGAAGAAAAAAGTCCTGGAAAATTCATCAGCACCACCTCCAACTAAGCCTCCTTTGGTGTTGCACTGAAGCAAGAGGAAAACATTTGCCCTCTCTATCCTCCAGGGACAGACTAGGGGGGAGCCCACAGACTGTGTACCCCACTTTCATGCCCCAGGCCTTGATTAAGAAAGGCTTCTAGGGGCAAAAGCTCTGAAAAGAGGAGGCTGTCTCCATCCCGTTGGGCCGTATAAATAAATGTGAGGAAGTCCTCCAACATTTAAATTTTTTTCTATGACGGCTGCTTTGAAGTTTTGTATTTTTTAAAATAGCACAAAAGAAATTCTCACATGGCTTTCTCCTGCTTTGCCGGTTCCCTAAGTATGATTGGGCTACATGTTGCTCTTCCCTGTAGTCAGCCTGGCTTAGCTTCTGTCCCTGCCCAGGCCTGTCACATGCTGAGGCTGCAGAGGGTTGTGGTGGTTCTAGGGCTGGCCTTGGGGGCCTCGGGCCCGTCTATGGGCACAGGCTGGTGTGCGGCGGGGAGGGCCACAGAGTCAAGTCCTTGCTTCATGCCACCTGAGCATGCTAGCTTGGGGCTTACGGGGGTGAGTAGGGAGCAGAGAAGGCAGAGTCCTGGATGGGCATGGGGAGGGGGCGCTCTCCTTGGCTAGGGTAGCCCTGCTTTGAAAATCAAACGCATCAAATCAACAGCTGCTGAGGTCCACGTTCAGGCACAGACTTAGCTGGGCTGGAGTGGAAGGCCAGGACTGGAGTCTTACTGTGCCCGGGGAAGCGGCCTTGGGCTCTTCTGCCCCAGGGGGTGGGTCTGGTAGTGGAAGGGAATGGTCAAGTGTCCACTGGGATGCTGCCCATCAGCTCAGGTACGCTCCCTCCTGTAAGTGTTGGAGGATCACCCCCACATTACAAATGGGCAAACCAAAGCGCATGCCCGGTGATGGAAGAGCCCTGTCTGTCCAGCTGGGTCGGTACTGAGTTTTTGCTTCGCAGTGCCCCCAGGGCCCAGAGCCTGGGCCTCTTCATTTGTGAATTTTATCACCACGTGACTCCTTCTGAGGCTGAACTATGCATTTAGCCCTACTGTGTGCTGTGCATGCAAGTACACAATGTGCTTCAAGTATACCGTCTCATCCACACAGCATCCCTGCAATGGGGTAGGATGGGCCCCGTGCTGCACATGAACTCAAAAAAAGAAAGGTATTTGCCCATGGTGACACAGAAAGCACATGGCGGGGACTTCCTGCCCACTGGAAGGGCATCTGTATGAGTGTGGAGGCCGCTGGCTTTAACCCCAGGTCCCAGCACCTAGTGCAACCACTGGTGTGTCATGGGCAAGCAATAAATATCTAGTAAAAGGATGAGTAAATAAATGATCGACGAACCCCTTCTGGCCCCAAACCAGTGCTCTTTCCTGGTTCTCACCCCGCCGGGATCTGGGAGCCGAGAGTAGGCGCGCTGGGTGTTCCCAGCGGGCCAGGCTCCCGGTGGCGCGGGGGAGCACGCCCGGGTAAGGGTTCGCAGGAGGGCCGGGGCCCCTCCCTGGCTTGGCCCACACAGGGAGCCCTTGCCCTCACCCTCATCCTGCACAGCCGCTCCCGGGGACCATATGCAGTCCCAGGGGATGCCGGAAGGAGTTCACTGCAGCATAAACATATGGGTTATACATCCAGTGATTCAAAAGGTCCTGCTGTGCTGTCCTCACTCCCCCCCAAACAATGTGGTTCCCATGGCAATGAGCCTCACCAAACCAGAGCTTGCTGAGGGCCTCCTAGTGAACCCTTTCCCGGGCCCTTGGTTAGGCTCAGCTCACTTGCCCAAGTGCCCTGGATTCCCATAACGCTGATGCTCACGGGCCACCAGCAGGGGCAGGGCGGCTCTGGGGGCAGAAGTGTAGGCTGCAGAGGTCAGAGGGCCTGGATCTTTGGGCCAGCTGTGTGACTTTGAACATGCCAGTAAACCTTTCAAGCCTCAGGTTTCTTGTCTGCAAAGTGGATACAATGGTATGGGCTGGCTGAGGATGCACAGTCACACCTAGCCGGATGCTTGGCACAGAGTGTGCTGCAGCGAACGCCAGCTACAGGAGGAGCTGCTTGGTGCACATAGCCAGTCGTCTCTTACTGCAAGGCCCCAGGCACATCAGGGGGAGGGCACGCACAGTCACAGACACACAGAGCGGTGATTCATCTAGAAAAAGGGAAGCCCACAGCCGCTCCAGCTGTACCAAGCCTGGATGTTGCCCTGGGAGATCCCCATCAAACAGCCCATTCATTCACCTTGAACTCACATTTCTCCAGGCTTCTCTGAGCTCTGGGACTCCCAGACTAGAAACCAAGACAGACAGAAGGAAGCTGGTGGAGAAAGTGCACAGAGACCTGGGCTGAGTTGGGTGAGGAGGGGAAAGAAGGGGAAGGGCTTGGATGCGCTAGAGGTCAACCTGGCAGCCTGTGGGTATGAGGCCACCTGCTGTTAACTCCATTGAGCTAAAAGGTCCCTTGGGGAAGAGACAGCAGAGAGTGGAGCAGACAAGGCATTATTAATGGCCACTGTTTATTGAGGGTCAGCCAAGGGCCAGAGCGATGAACACAAATAAGGCCGCGTCCTCCCCACCCACTGCTTAAAGCATTTTGATGGCTCCTTCCTGCTGTCACCACCAGGACCCAAAGCCTCAGTGTGGCCTGGCCCCTGCCCACCTCGCAGCTGAATGTGTTCCCAGCCTCTCTGCCCCCAGCACTTGGGCTTTCTTTGGCTTTGGTTTTCAAAAAACATGCTTTTCCAGCCTCAGGGCTTTTGCACACACAGGTGTTCCTATCTGGTATGCCCATGTACATCTTTCCCCGGTCCATTGATTGTATCTTATTAATTTTAAGATACCCACTTAGAAAAACCAACTTTTTACTCAAATAATTTCAGGCTATGTAAAAGTTGCAAAGAATAGTATGGGTAGTTCCCATGTTCTCTTCACTCAGGTCCCCTAAATGTTAGCTTTTTACCATGTTCACATTTATTTGGCTCTCATTCCTACTGGCAAGTCCCTATTATTTATTTATATATATGTTTAGCACATCCTCACTTTCTGGCACAAGAAGATGTCCCAGGGTCATCTTGTACTTTCTGGGTGGCAGCCCTGCAATTGGCTGTTTCCCTGAAGTGCCCTGGTTCCTTTTAGTGAAGAATCATATTCAGAAACCAAGATCTAGAAACTAGGGGTGCTCTGTGCTTCTGGGTAAGATGCATCTTTTAAATCTTTGGAAACAGGACGCATTCTATACACTATGGTGTCTATCAAACCCCCTAGTTTGGCATTTGACTCTTGTCCTCCTGGCCATTCTTCCATTAACCAGAACCTGAACGCACCCGTGAGCCTTGGCCAGGACCCCTTGCCCACCCTCCCTGCCCTTCTCTCAGCCCTGTCCACATGGCCCCCTTGTCCTGTCTCTATTTCCATAGAACCAGGGCCTATGAGCCTATGTTCTACCAACTCTGGCGGTTCACCCGGGCAGGCTTGCTGCAGGGCAAGGTGGGTTGCCCTTGGATTTCACCCTATTCTGATCTCTGCTATTACAGACTCTTCTTTGTTATAAATTGGGTGGGAGATAGGAAAATCCTCTGGGATTGAAGAAAAAGTCTAAAAGCTCTTTCAGTAAGCATAAAATAACACTGCTAAGGGTAAGAAGGCTTGGAGTCACAATTAATTGGAGGAGATTTCCTTTCTTGGTGTTATCTAAAATAATTGTGTGTTGACAATCAGTAGTGTTTTAGATTCTGAAATAGATCACACCTAGTTATCCTTCAAAACTGCGCTCACACGATTTCCTCATGAGTGCTTTTCCTACCTAACACTCAATGCATTCAGTAACATAGACATTGGGGCCACCGTTGGTTAATGTCCATGTGGAGGTCCCGCCAACCTGTGCTCTTGTCTGTGTCTCTTGTATTCATAGCTGTATCATTAATGCCTGGCACATTGTAGGTGCTCAGTAAAGGTTCATTGACTGGATGACTGAATTAATTGAATCTTCTCCACAAGGCTGCGAAGCAAAGATGACTCTCCCTACTCTACTGATGAAGAAACTGAGGCTCTAAGAGCCAAAGCTTGTTCAATGTTGTTCTACCAGTAGGTGGTGAAATGGGGACTCAAACCCGGACTTGCTGGAATCCAGTGTCTGAGCAAAGTGTCTCAGTGGAGGAAATGATTTTAGTGGAGAACTGAATTGAGTTATTGTTCCCATGAGGAGGCATGTGTAAATTCTTAGCAATCGGGACAGCACCAATATGACCAGGAGAGGGGACAGGACAGGGGCCAGTGTAGCAAAACTGGGGCCATAGACGCTCAGCTCATCCTTTGCCATTTTCCCATTGGTAGGCTTGGATTACCCTGTCCCCTTATGGGAGGGCCATGCAGAGTATGGGTCAGGAGCTTGATCCCCGCCAGGGACCCTGACCCCCAGCTCTGTGTGGCTAATCCCGGGCCCTGCCATGGTCCCTTCTGTGGCGGAGAGTGCACTGTCCTTAAGAGCTCTATTAGCTCACCTTTCAGAGGAGCACACTGAGGCCAAAGGAGATTAAGCAACTTGGCCAAGGTCAAGGTTGGGAATTTGAACTTGAGTGAGGGTTTATACCACAGCACTTCACTATCTGAAATTCTATTCTCAGCTATCCACACTCTCTGGAATGCAAACACCCCAGAGGGTAGCCTTGGGACAACAGTGCCCCGGTGTGAAGGTGGATGGGGCCAGCCCAGCTGCAGACCCACCCAGATGCTTTTAGTGATTGCAGGCCTCACCCAAAACTGCTCAGACTGAGTTTTCTGCAAAAGTCGGGAGAGACAGGGGAGCTGAATGGATTCGAAAGGGCCATTCTTTTTAATATGCCTGCAAGAGAGGGCGCTGGGCACCGGAACACAGTGGTGAGGATGTGACAGACAGGAACAGTGTCCTGTTAGAGGGTTGGGTGAGGGTGTTGAGATGAGGGCCGTGCGGCAATGAGGCGATGACCGTGGCCGCTTATAAATGGGTCTCAGCTGGGGCCCTGGTTGTCCTCTGGGGTATACGGTTTGGAGGCTAGCCCTCCGGTAAGCAAAAGGCTGGAAGACTCAGCAGGAAGTGAACCTGCCCAGTAATGCCCTTCACCTGTCTCCACTCCTCCATCCACTCCTGGGGTAGGAGGTGTGGTAGCTGGTGGAAGCGGGGAGGGAGGTGTTCATGGCTGGCAGAATCTGGCCCTGGGCAGGCAGGGGTTAACTGCAGCCTGCCACTGCTCTGCCAGAAGATTTGGGGGGCGGCCCAGGGTTGCCTCTGATGAGCACCACCTCTGTGGCCTGTCCCCACCCCTCCTCACCGCCCCGGGGCCAGCCCCTGAGCTCCCCAACAAGATCAGACACACACCTAGGCCAGTAACCAGATCTCAGGTGAGAGGGACTACATGTGACTTGAAAACACCTCCCAGTGCTCAGACAGGCCTGGGGTTCTGGGAGAAATGTTGAGGGCAGCACCCCAGCCTACAATTCCTCTGGCCCCAAGGCCCTTGCTTCAGGTGTGGTGAGGAGGGGGCTCAAGCAACCTGGAATGGAGAGGCCAATGTGATCAGGCAAGGCGGCTTTAAAATGAACTCCTGGCCAAAGAACCTGGCACATTGTGTTCCTTGCTTAGGATACACAAATATAGCTTAAACAGAGCTTAAATACACACTCAGGTGTGACCTGAGGAGACTGCTCCCCGGCCTGTGCCTGCAGGTCCCGCATTCTCTGGAGGCCGTGTCAGCGCCTGTGAGCACGCCCAGGCCAGCTTCACGTCTGCGTCGGTCTGCACACTCACCCACATGTAACTGAGCCCCAAGCCCACCCAGCTTTCTAAAGCAGGCATCTGCAGTGACAGCAAGAGCATCATGTCATTATGGTACAGTCGTCCAGTCATCTCTTACTGGGGTGGACACACTGAGGAAGGGGAATTGACCACTGCTATTCAAATGGAGAGCAACGCTTCCCCACTTCCTCTCCGCACATCCCTCCCCCTCTCCAGTAGTCCCTCACACAGGGAGTATGGTGGCTGGAACAAGACTCTAGGGAGCTCAGTGGCCATGTTGGGGCTTTCCCTAGTCTCTCCCCTTTCTCTTTGGACAGACCCAGCGCCTCTCAGTCTGCTGGCAGTTGCTGTGGTCTCCTTGCATAGTCCTCTCTTCTCTGCTTGTTTATCTCCTACCCTACCCCCTCCTCCTCTCCCTCTTCTTTTCCTCCTCCCTCCTCCAACCTTCTGATTTTGGAAGGGCAGCTGTGTGCAGCTAACTGCACCCCCTCCCTTATGTCCAATTCCGAAATCCTGAGGAAGTGCAGCCAGTGGGAGGACAGGGAGGGAACCCAAGCCAAACATCCTTCTCCCCTCCCTTCCCAAAGTCCTCCTTGGCACCACAATGTTAACCCCTGCTCTGCACATGGAACCCACAGACTGAGAAAATCGTGACGGTCCTGACCGGGGAAAAGGCCTGGCAAACTTCCTTCGCCAGTTCTTTATTGAGCATCTACTATGTGCCAGGCACGGAGGAGTCAGCAGTGAACAAATGAAATGAAGTCTTCGCTCTCATAGAGTCACTGACTATAGAAGAAAGCAGGAGGGCCTCCTTGGGGGTCTTTGTGTTTTTCTCTCTCTGTTCATGGTGGACAGTTGTCCCTGGTCCCACCCCCTGAGCCTGAGGAACAGGGGCAGGATTTAACACCGCTCAGTGAACACGTGTTTCCTGCAGAGCCCCTTTTAGGCTGGGCCTTGTCCTCCACCTGTTCCAGAGCCTCTGGGTTTTGTCCCTGGGCAGCTGTCTCGCTCCACCCCCTCCCTTCTGTCTTATCTCCCTTCCTCTCTCCCCTACCTTGGGGCACCTGCCAAGCTT